TAGCATAGTATCAAGGCATTCTGTAAACTTTCATGTTAAAGTAGAAGACAAAGCTTGGCTCAGTAGATGAATTTTAATTCCCAGAACCACAGCAGTAGTGTTTTGCAATTAGTAAGCTCTTCCAATCCTATTTTTTTTAAACTTCAAAATTGCATGTGTTTGTTACCATTCATCCACTTCACACTTAACCCTTCAAAGTGACTGAACTATCACTGCTTAGTCCTCGAGACTCCAATAATTGTTTTCCAGTGCCATTTTATTCAATATCTAAAATCTTTGACAGCATTCTGTCTGTCTGGGTCCTAATCTTTGTTTCTTCTTCAAAAGGATTAAAAGGTTCTTCAGCTTTGTAAGAATAAAAAATCCCTTCACTCCAAAGATGAACTATGGAAATTTTTAACACACCAGACTTTATTTCAACCCAACTGCTGCCTAAAGTCCGTCATTCACCTGAAATCAACAATTCATTACCTACATACTGCATAAGTAGGATTTTTTTTATTGTTCTTTTGCACTAAATTCTGTCAGTATTGGTTTTATTCTCTCAACAATCTTTAAATTCATTATGGAAGAAATTTCTCTTTGGGATTGGTAGCCATGACAAGGTAAGCATCATTTACCTACAGCTCTGAAAGGTAACCCTTTCTTAATTACAAGGAAAGTAGTCCAAAATTATTTCTCCCCACAACCTTTTTCAGGGATGTCATTTGCCTCAGAAAGAAAATGGGAATTGGAATGGTAAAAGAATCTTATAAAAGTATTTCTTTATAAGTAAAATATACTTGGGCTTCATCCAGTTCCTCATCAAAGCAGAAATCAAGCTCAGATGTTGCAAGGGTACAAAAATTCTCGAGTCTAAGATAACATACTCCCCTTCTCAGTTTACAGAAGTCCTTAGAAAACAATCAAATTGAGTTTAAGTATCATGACTTCATGAGCAAAAACATTGTGTGGATATACAAATGTAAACTGCTTTAAACCCAGGGATAGATGCCTTAAAAGCAGCCACTTTTGGAAAATATTTATAAAGATACTCAATTACTGAAATATTTATTAAAAAGCACTAATTATAAAGATATTACAGTAACTGAAAAGGAAAAACCCAGCCTGGTTTAACACACTTGTCAGCTTCAGTTAGCTGCACTCAGGCCTTGGAATAAATTTTACCCTGTGCCAGTCTTTGGAATCTCTGTTCTGCAAAACCAGAGGGAAAGCAACTATGAACCACAAATTGCAACAGAAGTAGACAGAAGTCAGCACTCCTTTCATTTTTTAAGTATATTCTCTTAATAAAAAAAAAAAAAAAGGCTCAAAGGTGGTTTGGTTTGCTGGGCAGATTTAATAAATGCTTCGTTTGACAAATATCATGGCTCATTCATAGGCCTGTGCCAAACTAATAACACACAACTGATTTCTCAGCTTGTATCAGTTACACATCAATTACAGTTATGTCTGTGGTATATAATAAAACTCCTTTGTCTGACCTGACAAAAATAATAAATTTTTATGTCTTTTTAATAGGTCTTGTTTGGGAAATACAGAGTGACAGCACAAGCAAATTGGTAGTAAAAAAAAAAAGGCTATAAAGGAACCTAGAATAATTAGAGTCTATCTGGAAGTTTTTTTTGAAAACTTCCAGATAAACATTCCAATTGTTGCCTAGGATTTACCTATTCACTTCAATCAAAATGAGTTCACACCCTCTTTCAAGCCCTAGTCACCATGTAATAAAGCCATGAGTAATCTTCGCAGCACACAGTAAATCCCATGTCGATAAAGAAACTTCAGCCTTGACCTTTGCAACAGAGAACAGGCAACTACAAAAAAGACAAACAAAAAAAGTCGACAAGTCATGCTAATGATACTGTTCATTTACAGCTAAGCCCTGGAGGTTCACACATCCTTGAGAGGGGAGATTTTAATTTCAAGATGTCATTTTAGGAAATTTGTGCAAAACTCAAGGCTCTACAGCAAGTAATTTTGTGAAAGCAACTAAAGAAAGGGTTGACCACTTCCACACAGGGCAATTTTCATTTTAATACGAGAAATCATCACTCAACCTAATCCCCCCACCCCTAAAATCTTACCCAGTCTGGAGGTCATCCGATAAGATTTTAAAATTGATCTTTTGTACACGATCAGATTGCTGAAACCTGCACAGCACTGTTAAGGATTGCTCAAGAAAATAACCGCTGAATTTCTCTATCTCAGGAAGGGTGATTTCTCGGTTAAGGAGTAACTAACAGGAAGATGCTAGATTTCTGAAGTCATATGAGAAGTCTTTTTTTGAAAGCAAGTTTACATGCATTCATATTCCTCAACTCTCTAGAAAAAAAAGAGTGAATAATCAGTTTGTAGGTGCAGGAGAAAGTTAGGTCAATCAGTTAGCAGCTGGATTTTCAAAACATTCCTTGATTTTTAATGCAAAATTTCAAACAGCTAGAGACACTCTTTTTCTGAAGACTTGAAAATGTTTCAGTGGTAATTACATCAACACAATTCTGTATCTCCAAAAGTCAGGTCCCAAGTTGGGTATCTGTCAAAATATGAAATACATCAAGAGAGTGGAAATTTCTGACTTTTTCTGTTCACTTTCAATCCCAGGTGTCATGGGAAATCAGAAGGAGAGGTGGGTGTATCACTTAGGAACTCCAAAGCCTGCTTCTCCTCTTTAACACGGAGACAGCTGAAAACAGTAAGGCAGGTATTTGCCATTTTAGCTGATCTGACTGGCAGAGGGTTTTTGCAGATGAACATACACACTGTGCACATCTCTGGCCTGCGCAGACCACCTTGGGCAAATGGGACAAATACGCATAACTGTGACACTGGCCAATTCACCCATTAAACTCTTTATTTACACGTACCCATCTCCCAGACTTGGCTTCTACCAGAGAGGATGGAAGTGGGAAAGCATGCATATTTCCAAAAGTCATCGCTTGTTTTTCCAAATGTCACTCCCTGCCTGAGCATGGCTGAGTCATGACAAGTGGGGATGTGACAGCACAGATTGCTGTTTCTAAAATTCTTGTCCCAGTTCTTAAACTGACCCTGGCATCTTAATGAGAAATGCAGCAAAGCTTTTAAGATTTTCAAACTTATCCTGCTTTGCAAGCATTTAGAGAGTGTATTTACAATATTATTTACTTTTCTCTGATTAATTAAAAGCACTCCAGGTTTGCCAAAAATCCTCCAGCTCGCTTTAGACACATCTGAAATCAAAATGAATGATTTTATAGCACAAAGAAAAGTCGTTGACGGTGGATTTGGAAACAGAAGCAGAACTTGAGCATAAATTAACCCCCAAACTTAGAAGAACCGTCGCTAAAACTAACCTTTTCCTTAAGCTGATATTTAACATTCCTCTGATGGAGTTGCAGAAGCCAAGACAATTTAGTGCAAGGCTCTCTCAAGGGTATTACATGCTAGATGGGAACCTGTTCCAAATCCTCACTACTCCAACTTCATTTTTGAGGTATGTGGCCTCACTGTTTGCAGGCAAACCTTCAGTGCAGTTAACGGGCCTCCACTTTTCCCTCTTCTATTAAATCACCCCATATAAATTTACTGTGCTTCCTGCTTAGATTAGCAATGGGTATTTGTGAAAATGCAAATGAAGTATTCTTCAGTCTGGCATGCTGGTTTCTCACACTAGGCTCACCATCTCGTCTGGGATGTCAAGGCAATTGCCAACCGATTCCTCCCTTGCCAGGGGGCATGATTTGCATGATGTATTCTCTCATGGCTGCAGCATGAACATTTTTTAAACATATATTAGGGAGTATAAACTATGCCATATTTAATTGGTTGCCATGTTTTAGAGCAACTATGAATACTATTCTTAATACAGCTCTGGCTGACTAGGCTTCTGAGAATCTAAATTTCCTGCCATTTTTAGCGGCTTTAAAGGCTCAAATCAACATAGGTATTTGGCAGCTAAACAATACACATGTTTCTGGAGAAGGCAGATATTGGTACAAACAAAAACACCCCACCACACACAGCCTGTTTGATTTTAAGTCACTTGTTAAAGCTCCAGTCCCACTGTCTGTAATAAGTCTTCCAGCTGATGACAACGAAGTACACATTGCACCCAATGACCTCTTCGCTTTTCTATTTACTTCCACTTGGGTTTGAGAAGGTTAAATTATCAGACATCAGGTAAAGAATACATCTACTGACCACTAACATACAGTTCAGCTTTACATGAAAAAGCTGTGATGTTGCCTTTAAACAAAGCTCTTCTATGTATTTAACTGAATTTTTCTAATTTCTTTCACCCTTAAGACCACTTCCTCTTTTTTTCCAGAACACAGATCATGATTGACTGTAGATGTCCAGTAACAGGTTTTGTCTTTTCCCGCACACCTGCTATTTTGTTCATGAACAGATTTTTTCATTTCCTCCCCTTGCAAACAATCAATAAATTAGGTAGTCACAATCTTAACCTTATCAATTATTACAGGACTTTTCAGTTTCACAGCAGTTAAACAAATTGACAGCGGTTCTGACATAAATTGGTTCCTACCCTTAGCCACCATTCCAAGTATTTTTGATCCATGTAATGACCCACTGTCAAGACACTCCTAGAGCTACACCTCTGCAGCACGTTCCCATTCCCCTTCTTACACAACGAATATGAGACCGTTATGAGAAAATAATTGTGAAAATTAACTTAGTTTCGAAATGACAAACTGTCCAGCTCAAATTATTTTGCGGATTTAAATTTCTCCTGTTCCATAACAGCGTATGAGAAGCAAGGAAACAGTTCACAGACCCACTAATTGCTAACACATTGTTTAGAGCAGAAAGCAAATGCAGTAAGCACTAAGTTTACAAAGCATCTTCCCAGCATGGTAAAATCAGCCTTATTGTATAGATGATGGCAATTACATTGCAGAAAGAATATATATTAGTTTTTAAACTGAAAGCCCTCTATCAAGGCCTACATACTGTCATTTAATTTAAGGAACCTGACCTTCCTAATTCAAAAATCTTACCTGGCATCTCCTTTTGAAAGGTTGATGTTTACAGGATGAAGAATAACCTTGTTTGCATCCACATCCACCACACATTTTGTATGCAGATCAAGCTCTATAAAGAAATGAGAAAGTGTCAAGTGCTGCTCCTAAAGCACTAGGATTATATACACCATTACTTCCTCCAGACACCAAATTTATTCATGTAGTCTGACAGCCACCCATCAGCTAGAGAATAGAAACAGGACTATTGCCAAATTCCACTTCTAGAGATATTCTGATGGGATGGATCCTGTCCAGCTTTAAAGCATGCACTCTTTTCAAAACAAGAAAGAGCGCTTAGGTTTTACTGAAGGACAATCAGCATATATAAGGCAGTATGAAATTTCTTCTGGGGAAAGAACCATTAGGCATGGTACCACTTTGACAGCTCTTCTTATTGCTCTCTCAATGCCTCCACACGCTTGAAGGCAAAGCTGCCCCTACCATCTGCAGCACATTTTCCCCGGCCACTGTTGTGACACTGCAGCATGCCATGCCAGCTGTCAGTCCTGGGGCACCTGCTTGGAGAAATTCAAGTCCCATCAAAAATAATTTAGGTGTGAGTGTGTAGAAAAGGGCTTAACCCTCCCCACAGGCTCCCAGTCAGCTGGAAAGCCCAGCTCTTCCAAATGACGCTACACCATGGGATATGTACTATGAGTAATATTTGGAATGTATGAGAATTCTCAGCCGTAGAGGCGGGGAAAACAAAATAAAAGCTTCAGATAACACTGACAACCGTCCAAGGTATCCACCCAATGACAAATGGAGTTAGATATTTAAAAAAAAAAAAAAAGGCACACAGCCACTTGCAATCAAAGTCACTGCCTGCAGACTCAGGGGCCTGGACATAAACAAGCCCAGTCCTGTGTTCTTAACGCTCCAACGCTGAACCTGGAAAGCGTGCCCAAGTGCCAACACCTCTGAAGAGGACACACCAGGCACACCCAGCAGGACTCTGCAGCTCCCACGCGCTGCAATGACGAGGGGCTACGGTGTACAATCTCCATACAGGGTTCAACACCTCAGCTGAATCACCAAAATATGCCACTGTCTAACCACGTTCATCCCAATCCTCATCCTCCATCTCTGCTCTTTCCTTCTTTGTCACCTGTGCTTGCTCTTTCACCTTACAGCACCTTATAAACTCAGACTGAAAATCTCTCAGGCAAAGACCACAGATTTAATTATTGCACAGCAGCCTGCAGAGACTTCTTTCTACTGTTAAATAACACAGAGAAAGTTTCTTTCAGTGACAGTTTTTGAAAGAAATATTATAGGTTTTTGCTAATTGAAACACAACAAAACCAAAACTGAAGATTACTGGTCATAGCAGGCAGTCCCATGAAACTGAAATCCTTCTGCACAAAACTACTCCTCTGTTATTAAACTGTGCTTTTGTAGAAGGAAGAGACAGACAAGTTTCAGAAGCCAGTGTTTATTTTAATTTCTCTCCACACCCTGAAAGGTGATTTACCTATCATTAATATGCAATACATGCTTGCTTAGGTGAAATTATATTCTTCATTCATCCCATATCCGACAAGCTACTTTATCTTGGTCTGGCTGGTTAATGAATGTTCTGTATTGCAGTGACCTGTTTTTCCTCAACTACTGAAGAAGGTTTTTACATGCTACCTCCCTTATGCAAAGCATGTATGTGCACTCTGTATACAAGCAGTATGGTCTTTATCATATTTTTTAATTCATCTCTTGAGAGAGAATGCTGATGGCAGGTTTTACATCCATGATTGCCCAGTGAACTCAAGGTCTTGCTAGTATTCATTAAACCTCTTTGTGAAATTCCTTTAAGAAAGCACACAGACAGGATACAAGAGTTCCTTAAAGGCACATGTCCTGACAGGAAAAGAAGAAAGAATCAAAGCCAATTTGTCATGCACAACACGCCTCGTCTGATGATCGTCATCACACGGGTAACATTAAAATCCCTCACCTAGGCACCCTGCAGACAGGGGACTGCACGGTTTCGGAAGACGCGGTGAACCAACCTAACAGCTACTGCCAAACAGGGAGGTCTCAGTCCTGTGCCTGTTGCTCACCTTCCGTCACTACTGTGCTCAGCAGACTCCTCTGGAAGTCACTTCAAGTCACTTCAACAGAAGAAAACTACCCACCATGAAAAATGGATGTATTCAGACACTACAAAGAGTTACATCAGCTCAGTGAAAGCTCTGAAGAACATCAAAGGCCATGCAAACAAGTGGGTAGACCAGAGAGGGGAAGAGAGGAGGCAGAAAAGTGAGACCCTCTCCCAGCAGAGATGAACTTCCACATCAGCTCATGGCATTCCATGAAATAACCCCCTAGGAAATGGTTATATTCAGCCTCTAAGATGGGTTATGTATTCAGACAGCCTTAAGGCTACCTACCCCAGTTAGCTTGACAAAAAAACCTCACATGGCAACTCTCCTTTTAGCTGAAGAAATAGTTGAAGTTCTGCTTTAATAGTACATCATACACTTTCTACAAATTCTGGTTCCATTGCAAAGCATGTTCTTTGACTTGCCTTCTGATTTAACGTTTCCAGGCTGAGAGATGAATCTTACATTAGCCACTACTGAAAATCGTATCATCATAATTTCCACCTCATTACCTTTTTAATATTACTAAAGCAGGTTAGTCTTATAGACAAATTATCTTCCTGCTCTTTTGGATATGATCACACATGGACTCCACCCTTACTTTTACTAGTTTCAGTGTCTCCTAGGTAAGCAGCGTACTTGCTGTCCCTGAACAACAAGCAAAATCAGGATGCATCAAGATAAGATAAGCATGCACATCCAAAAACACCGATTAGTGCATCTTGTAATGAGGACTCATTTTGTCAAGGCTTGGTATTATTATTTCTTTCGATTATACAGCTGGGTTTTGTTCAGGCAGCACAAAATTAAGAAGTTAAAAGGTGACAGAAGTGGCTCACTGTCAAACTTTGGAGATTCATCACAGTTCTTGTAGCTCAAGAAAATTTAAAATCTTACCTATTATTAATGCTAGCCTGCTTCTACCTTCAGTCATTACCAAGCAAACACAGTCAACTACTCATTTGCTTCATCAAATCAAGAAACTAATCAGCTAATTGCTTTTTGAAAAATTAGAACTCAAACTCTCAACATCTCAAGAAACATTTACTGCAGGGAATAAAAGCCTCTTTCACAGCTTTGGAGTAGGAGAGCTGTGACGTCCATAATAAAAGGGTAACACATCTTAGACACTTCTCCATATTTACATTTCATAGCTGTAGAAGTGTTAAGCAAAGCTGGGCTGAGTGCAAGAATAATTAAGTCATGTGCGTCCAAGCTACTCAGAGTCTCTCGGATGACTTACTTTACTTGTGAAACTGGAAGGTGGGGCTTGAAGGAGGCCGTTCTCCTTCCTATTTCCCTTGATTTTTCAACTCCTCACAAAAATTTTCTAAGATAATAAAAACTGGGATTCCAGCAATGTATATCTTTGCTGAAACCACACTTGTGTAAAACAATAAAAACTAGGATTGCAGCAACGTAGATCTTAGCTGAAACCAACTCTTGTTGTAAAAAAAATTCACACCACCCACACAGACCTTGAGCTTTTTCACTAGCCTAAAAAATCCAGGTGTTTCAAACAGGGTGGAAAAAAATCAGTAAGGGAGAGCAGGACAAGCAAAATCAGGAGCAGCGTACCACCACCACATGCAGTGGTGGATCCAGCAGGCACTGGTATATTCCCAACAACAGGTAGTTTACATTCCCTCTGTAATAGCAGTCACACCTCTGGTAATCATCAACTCAATGCAGCAGATTTTCCACAACAGTGTTAGGAAACACTAGGAAAGGTGCAACTTTTAAATGTACTAAACAGGTTTAGAGCAGAGACAAAGAGTGTGTGTGAATCCTGGAGGAAGGAGAGAGAAGTATTTTGGAAAATGTCAGACATCTTCCACCCTGGGAAACCTCCATCATGGCTCAGTTAGGGAACTGTCTCCATAGATTAGCTGCAACGAAGGACAACACTGCTTGGATAATGATGTACCCAACTCACTCTAGCAGGGCATGGAATCAAACCCAGCAGCATCAGGGGTTTAACGAAAAGATCTGAACTGCCACGCAGTGATACTGGAGCTTTTTCAGCCACTACCCTAAAAAAGTCATCCCATCTTTAAGGTTGGTATTTCAGAACCAACCGATAGCTTTTACAGAGCAGTTTCAAATAATCTTAAAATGGAAGATGATACAGTAAATAAATTTGTCTGCAATTTATTAAACTAGTGGTTGGGACCATGGCATCGTAACAGCTTTTAGAACAGCAGCCATGGTAACTGAAAAGTCTGTTACAACTTACTTGACCTTCTGTATTTTCCTCTTTATATATTCTATGTTTTCACACTATACAAGATTAATTATGGGAAAACATTTCCCAATTCATCAAGAGCCTTTATTTTGATGTAAATTTTTCCATCAGATTTCAATTTCCGAAATTAGTTTCTGATGGTTGACAGTTTTTCAGCCCTTTTGACTACCATCTGATCCTAAACTCCACTGAAACAAAGATGTAAACCTGATGTTATAACACAGGTCAAATAAAATTTGTGCCAGATTCCTCCTGGTCCCACTACCCCGTTTAGGGCAGCTGCACCTGCACTGACACCCAAGGTCCCCTTGGAGGTAGGAAATTAGGCTCAATCATGTCACTGGGAACCAACCTGGCTGCTCTTGTAGTTTCAGAAAAGCTAACCAAAGTATAAAAAATAAAATGTGAAAGGCTTAAAGTGCATGTACTAAGCTCATAAGCCAAAATTGGCCCTGAATACAAAAGCTCAAAATAATCTCCTGTAAAGACCGAGACGACAGAAATTTTGTAGTTTAAATTGCCAGTAGATTTTCAGGAGATTAACATTCCCTTGAAGGTTAGAACTGGAATGTTGTGGCCTGAGCCTTCAATTGCATTGACTAAGAAATCACAGTTGGTTTCTCGTACATTTCTTGGTCTAAAAAGCAAATGGCAATAACACTGAGAAATGTTTAAATAGTAACTTAAAAAGATGTAAAAGTTTATTTATCACACAGATTAAATGAATGCCACCTAAAAAAAAAAAAAACAACAGACACTCTTTAGGGGTTTTTTTTGGTTTTGTTTTAAAAAGAAATCTGAAAACAAGTTCAAAACACAACAGGTCCTCAAGCCTTCCTGCCAACGTTTGTTGCCTTAAGAGTGACTTTTCTCTTTGCCCTTTGCTGTGTCAAAGTCAACACAAACAAGGGAAAAACTGACTATACAAGAGTGTGTGAAAATACCTTATATTTAAATGACAATGCTAAGAGCTTAAATGGAAAGAAATAATTAGTGTAATAGCACTTTTAGGGCATTCTTTATAAGACATAACTACTGATACATTCTGGACAAAAATACAGTAATTTGACTTAAGTCTAGCAACATGAAGTCTCCGCAGGCATCTTTCAAACTTCTCTGCTATATATATGAACTGCGCAAATATAATTCATTAAATTTTCAGTTTGCAGCAATCTAAGATCATTAAATATGTATGAGTGCATCT